ACAAAACATAACCAAAAAAAGGCAGTAATCCCACTTTCAAACTTAATTTATCATATGTTGTATGCTTTATGCGATTGTGCCTCTTTATTGATAGCACCCTCACACTAAATGTGATTACTTATGCTTCTGCCATACACTTCTAAAAGCTGACTGAGGAACATTGTTCACTTCCTGTTTTTAAGGAGCGTGATTGCAGAGAAGAAGGGAACAGACCACCAATCATTTTGCAGCCATGAAGAGGAAGAAGTATTGCAAGAACTGGATGAATTAGCAACTAGCAGAGAGCAGTAGATTTTTACAGGATGTAAACGCTGCAGTTGTTAGTCATATTCTGATGACAGTTAAACTATCAGTTTTACACTGTAGCGTGGGACATAACACTTCTTATTTGTTGTAAATTATCTGTGCTAAATGAGATTAACATTTCTGGCACCTTAAAACTAGCAACATGTGGTGGTGTTATACCGGCTCAGCTGCACTGAAGCTTTGAGAACCAAACTCAGGTCCTGATTAATAATCTATCAGAATTTAGCAGATCTAAAGATTACCGTCAGAACATCAATTAGTAATCTTTAGCACACTGCCTTAGTATTTTGAATCATACCAATCAAAGTACAAACCCAACAACTAAACAATTAAGTGTGTTCAATAGTTAACAAAACCAGATTAATCATTCTTCCTTGTATATTATATTAAAATATCACCTTCTTTTACAGGCAATGGATAAAATGGCAAGATTATGAGATGATATGAAAAACACAAGTGGAGAAACATAATCTTTACATTGTCAGTCAGTGCGCTCAGTCCTCTAAATATCCCCAAGTGGCTTCCTCTTTAAGAGCCAGCAAAAATACAGCCCCTGTGACCCACATGTGTCAAAGACAAATATAAACCTTGCCTGCCAAAGCTGCAGTACTTCAAGCTCAGCCCGTCGCTGGTAGTCTCTTGCCATTAAAGACACAAAGGTGAAAGGAGAGCAGGTTTCTTGCTGCGCTGTTGCTGCGCTAATCATCACAGAGGATGTGAAAGAGGAAGGGCTTTCAGGGCGTCCTCAGATGGAAATGATTTTTACATATGAAAACAAACAGTGGTCCATTGCTTACAAAAATTAAGCTTATCATTATTTATTTCTGGGCGAGGTAGCACTGAGGTCTGGATAAGAGGATGCTGCATTACAGGGGTGAGGATGTAGTTCATGAGCAGTCACTACCCACACAGCTCTCTGTAAGTCAATAAAGCAGATGGAGGGATAGAAGTAGGGGAGATGAAAGGCAATGAGGTTTAATATCACAGGCATAAAGGCTTCATCTCAACAGTGAATAGTGCTCCCAGTGAGTTCAATGATGAGTCACTGTCTATTATGTCTATGCCATGTGTTAGCTCTAAAGTGATACACTATCTCCACCCGGAGCAGCCTATGGTATTTTCTTTCCTGCCATGTGTCAGTGCATGTCTGGTGACTGAGCACTATCCTTGTAGCTTTGACTTTGACCAGCTGACTCATTCTATGTATCTCTGACAATATTACAGCTACTGCTGATGTGTCCGTCTTTTGAATTGTGAATCCTTTAAAATTTCCAGAAGAACTATGCTCTGGGAAAAAGTCTAAGATGTGAAACTCACATTAAGGTTGACCATGCATTGTCTAGCAGTGCTGATTTGCCAGACTGCAACAAACATAAATTGTTTGGTTTTTAAGACACCTGCACCTGCACAGTAACCCTTGGTATAAAACCTTCACTGAAAAACATTATAATCCAAGCACCACTGCTATGGTGGTTGACTCTTTTAAGTGGTTTGATGGATGTTTTTGATCAATGCATTTTCAAGTAGATGACTCCAGACATAAGTTTAGTTGGAAATCTATAGCAAGCTGTAAAGATTAACAGACACTTCCTGACCTGGAGATATTCTGAAAAAAAGAATGGAGAAAAAGTCTAGAACCAGTAGATGTGTCCCTGCAGGCTTGCTGCTATAATTTCTGATAAAATGGTTTCACAAAATATTCACCAAGGGAGGATGAATACAAATACGTTCATAATGTTAAACATTTACAAAAAAAAGTTTTCATATTCCTTTACCATTTTTGTTTCATTTTATTTTAGTCTTTCATAAAAAAAAATTACATTAAAATATATTGAAATCTGTGTTTATAATATGTCAAAATGTGAACCATTCATGCAAAACTGCATACACAGGTTGAACACAGATGTGGGTGAAGCAAAGCAAATATTGCAGAAACACAGATATGCAGTTGAATTGGACAGTTCCTGTGTTTTTAACTCTTATTTTTACTTTGCAAGCCAAGGAAATCAATAACAGCACATGGGGGGGAAGTATCAAGGTTAAAGATGTAGCTCTGCATCTCTGCCTTAACAGGCATTTGGTAATCTGTAAAATATGTGAAAATCAGAGTAATGTTTATTTGAGCTCCTGTGCATAATGTCCATAAGGTTTTAACCTACAGCTTCTTTTTTTTTTTTTTTTTTTTTTGAAATAATCTCAAAGAAACCAGTTTACTGTGCGGTTTTAAGAGGTCTTTATTTACTCGTTTAAATAATGTTCACTACTGTCCCCCTCTATTCATCCTGTTTGTCTGCTATGCACTGAAAAACTCCCTTTTTGCTGTAAACTATGCTTTCCTTAAGTTTTTTTTGGCTTTGTGTTGTTACTGCATTTAGATTCTTTTTGCTTTAGCTACATTATTAATGTGTTTCCATCAGCTGTGTGACTCCACACCCTGCTGTTTATGGTGCTACTTAATTACTCAGGGTATTTTTTGTCTCTCTCAGATTTAGCCTTTACGTGTCTGTCCACTGCCACCCCTGGAGATCTACCCACAGAGGTTCACAGGGTACAGCGCATGAGATTTCAGTTCCAACGCTTTGCTATGCGGAGAGGGGAATACATTTCAAACAGAGAGCAGAACAAGATTTAATGACACTTATACATTTTATATCTATATATATATTAGTCCAGTCTAGTCAGTACTGAAGAGAGAAGAAGGGAATCAGAATTTTGAGGAAAATACTGAAGAGAGTCTAGAAGTCAGAAACAAAGATAGTTACAAGGGCCACCATGCACCAAGAACTATCCTTGACAAACTTTGTCACCAACCCTATTTTTATGTATTTTATTAGGATTTTGTATGATAGATCAACCCGTACTAGTGCATCTTTAAGAAGAGGAAAGAAAAGTTTCAAAGAAAATCCTCAAAAATTACATCAGTTTTTCCATAATAAAGAAAATCTACCTTGCAGTGTGATGTTCCAAGTGTTGCGTTTCACTATGGCAAATGTGTTTAAAGAGATGCTGTGTAATTCTTTATACACATAAAACATTTTGCATGTGGGACAGAAAGTTAAATGACAGAGCAGAGTATCCCCTCTCCTGTGTCATTTTCTTTTCACCAGATTTCTTCAAGTCACTCTTCCATAAAGCCCACTCTAGTAGAGTTTATCCTTATTGCTCTCCTTGCCCAGTCGGTCATTGTAGGGTACCATTCTTGTACTGTTGGGGATGTTATTTTATAACCAAACCCTAGAGCAAACTTTTTTCTCTGACATGTCTGCATCTCACCTTAATGAAGCTCCTCACCCACATAAATCTATTTATAAGATAAAGTCGGACTCAGATTTGACTCTGTTTAACTGTCAGTATCCCTATTATTAATTTTTTGATATACATTTGATTTAATTGCATCAGATTAAAAGGTCACAATAAATATCTGCAGAGCACTTTCCAGATGCTTTTTTGCTATATAATTTGAAGACCATTATTTCTTTTAAAGTCGCATAATTTCAGCCCAATAAACTCTGAATGAAAATCAAGGAAGTTTTACTGTTTGATGTAACAAAATGTTAAATAGTTCAAGGCAAATGCTCTATACAGAAAACACATGTGAAAAGTGTAACAGATATTACCTGACCTCTGAAACTTTGGCACCTGTGAGTTCAATTTGTCCTATTGTGGGACCTATTCCTGTTGAATAATTGAGATGATCTTTACTTATTTATTCCAACATACAGGTTAGAAAAAATCTGTCCTCTGCCTTTCCCTCCTAAATACACACCCTCTTAATAAGCAGATATCATAAAGTTGGATGGGGAGCAGTAGAGCACAGCAGCTGACACAGGGAACCTGATCCCTGTGGCTTTCCAGCAGCACAGCCTGTGCGATGCAGACATTCTTGGTGCAGGAGGGTCATCATCCCTCCTTTTACCTCAGCTCATGCCCTTTTTGCTTTCACATCTTCTTTTTCCATTAACCCACCAGGCAGCCAGGGGACAGAGGCTGAATAGATGTATTCTCCCTCCTCCTATCCCTTTTATCAGTTCAACCTGTCCATAGCATCTAATCTCTCCCGGCATTCTTCATTTTCCACATTTTAGAATACTCTAATCCAGTCTGTCAGCAGTTATAATCAGTGAGACCCTGGCACTTGGCACACAACCAACCCATTAAATCAGAAATAATAGAGTTTTAGGATATTTAACTAGCCCAAAGCCATTGGGTCACCATTTAGCAAGGCTCTAATAGGGATCTTAAATCTTTGGGTAAAACACCAGAACTATAGAGAAGTGTGTTAGAAAACAGTGTAAAACTAAAAAGCTCTGATCTAACAAAGCCACAGGTGTTGGATATATAACCAACTTTATTTTTAATTTGTCATTGATTTAAACAGTAAAAATGTCTTCATAATTGAGCTTTCAAATAAATAATGCAGCTGTTTCCAGTTGTTTTTGGTATTAGTCATATGCTAACAAGGGAAACAAATATACTGTTTATAAGTTGATGAACAAGACACTCCATGACTGTTGCTTATACACAGTCATGCTACAAAAAAATGAATTTTTATATGAAGGTTTTTTTTTATGTTGTCCCGGAGCCTAATTTCTACATGATCAGTCATATATAAATGTAGCTTGATATCTGTTGATAACATTGTTTCCGAAGAATAAAATTCAACCCAAAATCAGACTGAACAGAGGCAGACCCACCTTCTATACAGACAGCCTTGTTGAATCCTTCAGCTCTATTGACTGGTGATGCACAGCTTAAGGCTCCGTTACACTGACAGGTAATCAATCAACACCAGAAATCCAAGTCTGAGACGAGCTCAAGTAGGAGTCCTTCTCAGCTGCTCCCGATGCCGCTGTTTCTCCCCTCCTGGATCCACTCTGACTGACTGAATTAGCTGAGGCTCAGACGAACAGTCAGAAACTTTTCCCCTCACTGCTTATACCATCTGCATTCTAAGAAAGGTCTCTCTTGTGCTCAAGATGACTGTCGCTTGGTCAGCCCTGCTGACACACACATGGAGGGGGGCACTGTTGTAGCTGAAGTCCACCCAGAAACATGCACCCTCACAAAAACACAAGCACACACACACTGCCAGTACTGCAATATGCAGACCTACTCCTCTAGTCATACTGGTGAGGCTCAGACTGTGTGTAGTGGTTACAGAGAGGAGGAGGAGGAGAGGGAGGGGAAAGGGTGCATGAGTATGTTTGAGGAAGTCTTAGTATGAGAGCTGTGCTCCAGAACAGCTTTGACCGCATCTGATTTTCTCCTTTATTTCATAATAAACAAAGGAAAAAAGTCAGCGTTTGAACTTTTAAATGGTCTTCCACGTTTTGAACATCTGTATCAACAGCCAAGAATGTTCTTTTCCAATGACTCATGAAAGGAATAAAAAAGGTAAAATTTCCATACTTTGTCTGTGACTAATCCTGAACAGAGAGAGAGAAAGAGAGAGAGAGGGCAGAAAGAGAGAGAGAGAGAGATAACACACAGTCCTAAGGTGTCGTTAAAAAGATGACAGAAACTAATGGCTGTGTAAATGCAGCTCAACAAACATTTATTTAGTCTCTCTCCTCACTTTGGGGAAAAACCAGCTGTATACACACCACGGAAACTGCAGTTTTGTTTATTTGGGATGGCTCTAAATGGTTTTTTTTTTCTACAGGTATGCAATGGTTCTTTTTTAAGAACATTACTACTAAAGAGGAGCATCATTTCTTCTGCAACGAAAACATTTATTTAGAATCTAAAGTTGAAATCAGAAATTTACATACAAGGTATAGCTACATAACAAAAAAAATATCATGCTAAACTTCCCGCATTAAGTGAGTAATGATTAACAAAATGGTTTATATTTGCTGAAAACAAGAATAATGGTAGCATTTAATTTCTCTATTTGATATTAAGTGTGCTTGTTACAAAATACCTTTTAAGCTTTATTACTGGGACAAAACATATTAGGAATACTGACACAATCTTCTCTCAGTAGTGTGCTAGAATTTTGCCGCATTTCTCCTGATGAAGCTTCTTCCACTAGGTAATCTTTGTTGACTCACACACTTGTTTGGGGTTTTGAAAACACACTTTCCATGAACTTGAGATCAAGCCTTTTGTGATGGCCACTTTCTGACAAATGTTGTTGTGCACTCAAAGTGAGAGTAAAGTTGGAAGACTGCAGATGTTTTATCACCATTGCCAGGTCTATAGAGAATGTGGACTGCCCGGGTTGGTATGGTGCCCCATTTATGATAAAATGTATATATTTTGTGTCTGTTTCATGAGGCCCAATTTTCTGTCTTTGCAAAGTTCAAGCTCA